GATCTCTATGGAAATTCAAAATTTACCCTGTCTGAAAATATTTGCATTGAAAATAACCAAACCTAATTTGTAAGACATCGATTGTCCATGTCTTTTATTAGATTAGTACATATGATTAACCCGTTGTTGTTGCAACAAAAAACATGTGTGCAATGTACATATTTGAAATTATTGAGAAAATATCGAAATATTTTTCATTTTTTGGGGTAAATTTTAGGGGGTATGGGTGTTTTGTGTCATTTTAACAAGATTTATAATTGGTAAAACATCTTAAACTTACATTCAAAATAACAATATAGGTCTAAGCTTTCCATAAATACTACTATAACAACTCATCATGTCTTAAACGTAACTCTGTCGTATACAAAATGTTTATGAACATGGACAATTAAATGGCACAAAAAGTGGGGCATAGTGTTAAGTAAGACGTAATTTTCAAGACTTTGCCCTATTTAGAATTTTCTAGACTTTTGATATGTTATCTTCTGTATAAATAAGTGCAAGAAAAACACTTTGTTGGAATTATGTATGGGTTGAGCTCTTTTTTGTCGTAGGCTGACTGGTCTATTTGTGTCCTCGACTTGGAGACACAAAAGCGCTCAAAATAAAAATAAATCTGCTGCATCCGTTGCAATATTTTGGATCTTTTGTATTTCTCTCTGCTTCTAACTCCTTGCTTGGCAATACCACACTTTAATGTGTTCGCCCAGGCTAGGAAGGCAATGGGTTCTGTCCCCTGACTGGGACATACCAAAGTCCTTAAAGCTGGTTATTCCCTGCTTAGTATTGAGCATTTAGGGTTAACACAACAACTGGTTCACCCGTCGTCAGTATAATGTGAACAGGCGAAATAAACTAACATACCCTGCCTCCAGCACACGTTCACACACATACACAACACACATAAAGGCACGTCCTTAAATCACCATAGCTGTTGATAGGACGAGAAACCTTATAAAACCTAAACCAAACCAATTAATCTGGCGAAATGCCCAGGGGCCAACACATAACTCAAAGAGAAGGATGGACTTGATATAGAACAGGCGAAATAGATTTGTTGGCATTACTACTTAATATAGATGGGCTTATTACCAGGCATGGGCTTATTGCTGGATACATTCTGTAACAGTTTGTTTTGGATGATATAGGTTGTTGCTAATAAGACTATTGTTTAATGAATTTATTTTTGATGTTTGAGAGATAAGACATTTGAGTTTGTCGGTGCATCATGTTATGGAATTGAATTATTTGATGTTCAGGTTTTCGAGTTGATTTCCTCTGACCAGTGTTTTGCTTCAGTAGGTAATAACTGTAACATAGCTGTGTCCAGGGCTTGACTAGTACCATTAATTATATCTTATCACATAATGTACTGTGGTATCCAGTGAATATACCCATGTCATATTGTTTTGCGTATTAACCCATGTAATATGACCTATCAGCCCTGAAATTGGTTGTAAGTTTAAATTGTTTCAATTGTGACATCACGCCTAGGACAAGTACATGGCGTCACAGACTTATGCACTGGAGTCAAAATGGCTGCTTTTTTACATTGCAAAGTTGCATGAAAATTGTCGTTTTACACGAATAAATGCAACAAATCTTGATTATGTGATCAAAAGGATCTTACACTCGTTTTCATTTCATATAAAATTTATGAAACTTGTCACAAATTTTTCATTTTAGCTCGCTTTTCATCACTTTGTAACATTAGAAATACAATCGACTTTGGACATCACTTTGTAACATTAGAAATACAATCGACTATGGACATCGATTTGTAACATTAGAAATACAATCGACTATGGACATCATTTTGTAACATTAGAAATACAATCGACTATGGACGTCACTTTGTAACATTAGAAATACAATTGACTATGGACATCACTTTGTAACATTTGCTAACTTCCAAGTATCAGGATTTTTTTAACATTTTGTTAGTGGAATATAAGGAATTATCCATTTGATAAAATGGTATATC